ACAGGTTCCTGTAGGCATAATCGGCTCTCTGTCATTATTTTCAGTTCGTCAGAGGTTACCAGCCAAATATTTACACCGTAACTATTGCAAGTAACATCCTATTAACAGATATTGTATGCTAGAATTATTAATACATTATTATGCGAGGCTTAATAATGTTCTCAGGTGGCAAAACTATATCAGTAAAATTGCACAATGAAATAAGAGCTCTACAAATCATCTAGTATACTATATGGATATAATGCCTTCCCTGATTGTTGGTTGAGGTCGCTCTGGCAAAGTCACTCTTGGGTGATCTATTTTAAGATCTTTGCAGTGTTGTGTAGTGCTGACCTCTCCTGGGAGCCTATGTTTACATACGATGACTCGCCTCCTCCCTGCCGCTCTCAGCGTCCCGAAAAATGGGGTTCTAATTTTCAGTCTTATTGTAGGGAGTTAGACTTTAGTTTTATTGATAATTATATTAGATCCAGTCATAGGGAATTCTTTTTTTGTTAATTCTAATGTCTAGACTGGTAGTTTAAAGGAGACATGTTGTGTTAAATAGTATATTGTTATGACGTCACGGATTTCTCATTCTCTTTAATCCTTTTATGACTAACTAATGTTAGTATGTTAGTAATCTAGTATCGGAATTTCCGACAGGAAGGTTGAAAGAATAACTCAAGTGTTGGTTAACAATGGATACAGCAAGATAGATAAAAACACCACTATAAGACGACTCCTGGAACGTTGGTACAATCCTGAACCAAAAACAGAAACCACAACTCCTCCAATAAAATTATATTACAAATCAACCATGCACAGCGAATATAAACAAGAAGAAACAATAATGAAAGACTTAATCCGTATAGGAATAAAAAGCACAACTTCTTACCAAAAATAGACCTAATTAAATTCAGTAAAACAAAGAAGATTCCCGACCTCCTCACTGAAGGTCAAAGAACAGCCCGAGGCCGATGGAGAACCCTTTACAGCAGTCAGACGTGGTATATATATGTACACCTGTCCCAAGGATGGATGTAGCTTTAAATCTAAGTACATAGGTATGACGCTTGACCAATCAACTTCAATCAGGTACTCCTAAAAAACACATTTATAATAGACAAAACCCAAGATGTAAAAAGGTTACAAATTCTTTAAGCAATCCACATAAAAATAGAACATCCCACCATAAATACCCAAATAGTTGAATTGTTCAATCTACCCACCATGAGAGTAAGAACAAGACCGGAACGTGACGATGCCGACATAGAAGACACTGCTCAACATGCCACGCCCACTACTCCTGATTAATCTTTGTATGTGCTTCCTCCTCCCTCCCCTTTTTATATAATTTATCCCTATTTATGTCCCCCTATCCGTCTCCTATTTTTACCCTATTCTTCCTTTACAATGTACTCCTCACCTATTTGTATTATGTACCTGACCTCTCTAATGGTATAATCCAATACGCCCAGCAGTGTCCCACACGGGCCCACCATAGCCCGTCCTACATAGACATTTCATTCTGAGTAGCTGAATCTAAAACAACAAACAGCAGTGTCCCATAATATGTTGCGGTCGGTCAGCGATCCACTGGCTGGTCCTACTGATAAAAACAGTTCTTCCGGCATGGAACTGTCTGAACTTGTGTCCGCACCCTCAACGGTTCACTGCGACCTGTTGTGGGTGTGGACACAATGCGACCCTAACGTCTAAGGGTTAGAGATACCTACGTTGACAGTCATGCTTTCGGGAGAAGCAATATTCTTAAGGTCCTGAAAGACGTTAGCGGCATCACACTTACTGACATTAGTCAGGAAGGTGGTGATATTGTGCTCTTCTTTTCATGTGAGGAAGAACTAGAAAAACATTTGACCAACAATGCCATACTTCGCAAGGAGTATCACCTACATCCTCCCTTCCCGCATCAGTTCCTGTCCGGAAGAACTGTTTTTACCAGCAGGACCAGCCAGTGGATTATTGACCGTTTACAACATAATATTATGGAAAATATCGAGGACGAAAATCCGAACCTGGGTGTATTCAACTTAGAGTTCTGCAGCACCGACAAATCATCAATGAAGATTACTTTCACCACCAAAGCTGTGGCCACCCAGGCTGCCACACAAGGTTTCTACTGCTATGGCCTACAAATAAAACCTCACAAAGTAGAAAAGGAACGATACCATGAGATCCAGCAGTGCTTCATGTGCTACAAGTTCTCCCACCCCACCAACAAGTATCAGCACCCTGTCCAGAAGTGCAGCGTGTGCACACTGGACCATCACTACTCCATATGCAAGGAAACTGCCCATCGCTGCTTGCTCTGGGATGGCAATCAATCAGCAATTTCCTACCGCTGCCCTCGCAGACAGGAAAACATCAAGGCCCAGGTTGAAGCCAAGAGAAACAACCCTTCGACCTCCGGGACCAAAGCCCCAGCCACTCAACCCACCACCTCAGCTCCCACCAACCGACTAGAAGACTTTCCAGCCATACCAAAGAGTAGCTCATTCAACCAGGCGACCCAGCTTTCAAAATGGGGCCCAAAAACCTCACAGGTTCCTTCGCAGCCCCCCTGCATTACGTGCAGGCATTATTCCTGGTCTTATTAGACTAGCGGAAAGGCTTGCCGGACCAGACAACCACCGTTTTGTCAGTGAACTGAACATATTATACCTAGCCATTGGCCTGGACCCGATCATAGCCCCTGACGCAAGTCTCACTGCCTCCACTACCACTTCGGAGACTACCACCAGGTCGACCATGCAGTCGACTTCAACACAGACTCCAGAACCACCCATGACCCGGGCGGCACAAACAGAGGTAATTCCCTCTCCAGCTCCCAACATTCCTACAGTCACCATCTCAGCAGCCGCACTAGCAGACGTGCTGTCTACAAATGCTACCAGCACCACCAACGCTCCTAAAATAGCTTCTACCACCAATCCACGGCACTTGAGCCTATCTAAGGCTGTGACGCGAAAGACCAAAAGACCAACTTTGGTGGTTACGGACTCCACAGACGAGGAAATCTTAGTAGGAGCCACACCGCTGCACCACAAATACGACACCTACTCGTTTCAAGATTCCTCGTGGAGGGCAGCAAACTACAACGACAGCATGGCTCAGCCAAAGTCTCAGGCAAAGAAAAAAACGGAATACCTAGAGATTTACACTAACCCCATCAGCTCCATAACTGGTACAGCCAGCCCTCCTGGATTGAAAACCATCATGAAGATCCCTATCCATCGCCAGACCTCTAGTATCAGCTATTGATAGAGATAAAGTCTCCAAAGAGCCTTCACTTACGGGCTCACCATTGCCTGTGCTCCTGGAACTTCTTGCTTTGAGTAGCTGAATCTAAAACAACAACAACAAGCACTGTCCCTCCTATAGCCAGTGCTACATGGACATTTCGTTCTGAGTAGCTGAATCTAAAACAACAACAACCTAACTGTCCCTCAGTTAGGCAGGTCTGTGATTGTCGTGGCACTGATATGATTTTTTACTAGAATTGAAATGCCTCTGGTGCCACCTTGTGCAATTGGGCAGTGGAAACCTTGATATCCTGGGATATTGATATTGCTTTCAGTCCTGGTGAATGTGTTTTGAAGTAAAAGAATATCTATGTTGTCCTAGAGAAGTACTGTTCTGAGTGCTTGTGCTTTCTTTTTGAATCCTTGGATATTCCATTGTATAATTTTGAGATTGTCGCTATTGTTCATTATTCTGTTAGAGTTGAGTCCATGGTGGTTTCTAATATGCTGATTTCCCCGACGGCTTGTGTCTTCTTGGTTGGAGTGGAGACTGCCATTGGGTGCTGAAACAATTCAGTTTCGTCACCTTCTTCGACTTCTACTTCATCGACCTTTTCAGATAAGACTTGTAGAAGTGTGGAAGAAATTAGTTATCTTGAGAGGTTATCTTGAGATGATTTCGGGGCTTTAGTGTCCCCGCGGCCCGGTCCTCGACCAGGCCTCCACCCCAGGAAGCAGCCCGTGACAGCTGACTAACACCCCAGGTACCTATTTTACTGCTAGGTAACAGGGACAGAGGGTGAAAGAAACTCTGCGCATTGTTTCTCGCCGGCGCCCGGGATCGAACCCGGGAGCACAGGATCACAAGTACAGCGTGCTGTCCGCTCGGCCGACCGGCTCCCTCAGTAGATTCAGTAGATTGTTTTTTGAACTCTTAACATTTCCTTCCTTGACTGAGAGTTGGTCTGTTGCAGTGTTTAGAATGCTTTATCAGGCATCTTGCTGAAGGTCTTTGGCAGGAAGGCAATAATCATTGGAACAGTAGACACTTGATATGCCTTTGGCTGCCTTTCATTTAACTTTCATTTTGGCTGCCTTCCAATTTTGCCCGAAACGCATTGCGTAATAGTGGCTTTAGGCATTGTATGTACTAGCTCTATCTATATATCAATCCATTAATGTAACATCACTTGTATGTATGTACCTTACCTGAATAAACATATTTATTTATTTATATTTATATTTACTTGCTAAGGAGGATACTCTGGGTTGGGACATAGTATCTTTGCTACATCCAGCTATTGGGGCATTTGAGGATGTAGGGGTCGTAACTCGTACTTGGGATGTCTTGGAGCAAATGTATTAATTTTGCTGCCCTGATCGGTTAAACTTAAATCTAATGATGTCTTATTAAAATATCTATAACGTCAGTGATAGTAAATTTAATGGAAACGAAGTACAAAAATAACAATTGCAATTTTGGGTAGCAATTAATTTTCTATGCACATTTTCAGAAAAGTCCTTTAGCTGATTTTGGTGAAAAATTAAGATTTTTTTTTTGAGCTTGCAATGTGAAATTTGTTAAATGTAGAAAACAATTTGTAGCTACTACTTTTTTCTAAAAAGTGTGTATAAAACATTCACTTATATAAGTATCTTTCCAATTAGACTTTAATACGGTCATATTGTACACTGTATGAATGTAGAAGTATGGCCTTGTCTGTCCTAAACTGACTATCACTCCTGCATCGCCAGACGTGAGCACGAGGGAGCTCTCCATATGTGAGGTGGTGAAGGAAGGTGTGCTCTCCACCGCCGCCATCTTTGCCAGTCTGGAGTTGTCTCTTGCGGAGCTGAACCTTCAATTGCTCAACAACACCTGTGACCAGGCACAAACCTCCAACTGCTCGGGGTAAGGACTTTCCCCGGACTAGTGTCTCCGGGGAGTGTAGCTGTCTCCCGAGGATTGTAAAGCGCCCTAAATGCCTCCTTACTTAGGTTTCTGAATGATGTTCTAATTTTTGCCAGCACAGAGTACGCTGCTGTCGTTATGCTATTTATATGTAACTCAGGAGTTAATTTAGGTGTTATGTCCAATCCCCGGTCCATTTCTCGAATCGTCACAGGTAGGTGGTTTCCCTTCATTGTGTACTGCCCCTTTGGTCTCCTGTCACGTAATCCCATTTCCATGACTTTACATTTACTCGTGTTGAACTCCAGTAGCTATATCTCTGACAATCTCTGCAATCTGTTCAAGTCTTCTTGGAGGATCCTACAATTCTCATCTGTCACAACTCTTCTCACTAATTTTGCATCATCCGCGAACATCGACATATAGGACTCTACTCTTGTAAACATGTCATTTATGTATAATGGGAACAGAACTGATCTCAGCACCGATCCTTGTGGTATTCCACTCGTTATGGTTCGCCAGTTCGACTTCTCGCCCCATACTGTTGCTCTCTGGGACCTTCTAGTTAGGTAGTTCCTTACCCATGCTAGGACTTTTCCGTTAACTATCTGTATCAAAGGCTTTTTCGCAATTTTGTTATTTGTGTATCCCCTCCTCTTTCCCTTTTGTCTTCCTTCACACGTTTTGTTAGGAATTTCCTGTCAATAACGTCCAATAATTTCTGTTCCCATGTTTCTACCCCACCATGAGGATTTCTTGATTCCCAATCGATCTCTCCGTGATTGAGGTCACGCATAACCAACAGTTTTGCTCATATTCTCTCGGCTCTTGTTGCTGCCCTCTGCGGTTCATTTATACATGTCTTGTTGTCATCATTATATTCCTGTCTGGGCTTTCTACTGTTTAGTGGGAAATTGTAGATTGTCAAGAGAACAATCATCTTCCCATCTGCTGTCAGAATCGCAAGTATCGAGCTTGTGTTTCAATTAGTTTCCTGACTTTCTAGTTCCCAAAATTTCCATTTCTAGTTTATGAGAAGTGCCAGTCCTTCTTTGCATCCTTTATTTCCTTAATCCTTGGTATATCCCACTGTAAAGAATGCAACTCAGAACAAATCATTTATCTTAGTTTCTACTATTGCAATCACATCAGGATCTACTTCACTAACCCTTTATTTTATTTCCCCTGCTTTATTGGATACCTCATCAGCATTGGTGTACCAAATCTTGAGACTCTACTTGGAAACTCTGTTACCAGAGTTCATATAGCTCATCTGCCTACCTGTCTCCCTCGGTGTGTGCTGCAGGTGAGAGATGGATCCAGTCCTATCTCCTATAAGTGTGTGTGTGTACTCACCTAGTTGTGCTTGCAGGGGGTTGAGCTCTGGCGAAGGGTTGAGCTTCCCCCTCCCCCCTCCACACACAAACCCCAGGAAGCAGCCCATAGCAGCTGTATAACTCCCAAGTACCTGTTTACTGCTAGGTGAACAGAGGCATCAGGGTGAAAGAAACTCTGCTCATTTGTTTCCGCCTCCAAGGCCCCCCTTCCGCCTGGGGGCCTCGTAGCCTGGTGGATAGCGCGCAGGACTCGTAATCCTGTGGCGCGGGTTCGATTCCCGCACGAGGCAGAAACAAATGGGCAAAAGTTTCTTTCACCCTGAATGCCCCTGTTACCTAGCAGTAAATAGGTACCAGGGAGTTAGTCAGCTGTCACGGGCTGCTTCCTGGGGGTGGAGGCCTGGTCGAGGACCGGGCCGCGGGGACACTAAAGCCCCGAAATCATCTCAAGATAACCTCAAGATAACCTCCACCGAG